ACAGCTGAAATGAACTCAGAGAGTCGAATGACTCGGCTGAAATCAGCTGAAGAAGTTTAAATGAGGCATTAAAGTTAAAACAAGCAGAACCGAGTCTGAAAAGAGCTGCGCACAAGCTAAAAGCAGCATAACTGTAGCTACTATTAGCAAAACAGAAGCTAAATTTGTGAAATAGGCACTAAAGGTAAAATCTGCAAAACGGCAGTTAAAAAAAAAAACCTGAAGCTAAAAGTATCAAAACTGTGCTAACATGCTGAATTGAAATTAACGAAAAAGCAGCTAATATTTTCAGAACAGACGCTAAAATTAGCTGCACAATAGCCAAAATGAATTAAACAGTAATTAGCATTGAAATATGTGAAAAACAAAAATGCTAATATTAGCTAAACAGTAGCTACAAAAGCACAACAGTAGCAAAAATTTGTTAAACATATGAAAAACAAAATGTCAGAATTAGCTAAATAGTAGCTTAAAAAGCAAAACAGTCACTTGAAGCATTCAAGCAGCTTCTAAATATAGGAAAGCATTTGCTTAAATAAAATTAGCTGCCAAACAGCAGCTAAAACTTCCAAACAGTAGTTAAAAGTAGAAAAACACAAGCTAAAATTAGAAGTGCATTTCTAAGGGGAATTTTATTTGAATAAACTTTAACATTTTTGAAAATATGAGTTAAAAACCCAAACGTCGGCGCAGGGTATTCCCCATGGAGCCGAATGTTTTGATGCATGAATCGTTAAACAAACACGATCGTCGTGGATCACGTGAAAGATTTCAGCTTCAGACCGTCTTTAAGCTGCGGTTCTGGTTCAGGGGGAACCCGAGCTGGTGCCTTCGGCTGTCGTTCTGTGTGTTCGTGTCTCGTTTCCATTCAGTTTGACTCCAACTGCTCCGATGGCTCTGAGGTTTTAACAAGTCTCACGGTGTTTGCTGCGTCCGTCGACCGTCCGATTCTGGAAAGAGGAACATTTCTGACTCACATTTGTTTGTGTTTTATTCGTTTTTCCACCGGACGTAAAAAAACAAACCAGCTTTGACATGAACAAAGAGTGTCGATCACTCCCTCCGTCTCCCATCCTCCATCCCTCTGTCCTGCCTCCTGACGTCTGGTTACCATGGCAACTGCATCCAAAGGAGAGGAGGAGGGTGGAGGGAAACGGTCCGTGTGTTTCTGGGTCTTCTTCCCACACGTGCGCTGCAGCAGCCGACTGATCTTCCTCTGAGGAAGACGAGGGTTTGGTCCGGAAGGCGAGGCTCTCGGCTTGCTGCGGATGAAGAGGACTCCCATGAACCGGGTCGGGTTCTGGGAGCAGAGCGGCCGTATGATGAGTTGACACCCCAGCAGCTGAAGGTGTTTGGACTCGCCTGGACGCTGCGCAGGTCCTGATGGTGTCGGCTCCTCTCCTTGTTTTTGTTTACCCGCCTGTGTTCGATGTCTGTTTTTCTCTGAGCGCGGACGTTCTGCTGACCCAGGATCAGGGCTCTGCTGACCCAGGATCAGGACTCTGCTGACCCAGGATCAGGGCTCTGCTGACCCAGGATCAGGGCTCTGCTGACCCAGGATCAGGGCTCTGCTGACCCAGGATCAGGGCTCTGCTGACCCAGGATCAGGGCTCTGCTGACCCAGGATCAGGACTCTGCTGACCCAGGATCAGGCCCTGCTCCTCCCCTGATCATTCTGTTTTCTGCGGGCTCTGTCAGGAGGTTCTGATCCGTTACTGTCCAGCAGGCCGTTTTCTCCTCTTCTTCTGTGGTAATGTTTTTGTCTGTACTGTTAGCATAATATCTCACGAACCTCTGGGAGGATTTTAATGAACCTTTCAGGAAATAATCCCTGGACTTGCCTCAACAACTGATCAACGTTTGGAGACAATCTAGTCGGTCGGTTCCACAGATTTTGAGGTAAAGCTCGGAGCGGTGGAGATCTTTCACGTCATCGTTTTCAAGGTCTGATCTGAGCCTCGGGGGTGAACGGCGGCGGGCGATATGCATTCCTGCCACGATTTTTAGGCGACTATTTAAACTTTTAGTTTAGTTTCTGTTTGAAGCTCTGAAACGACTTTGAGTCAAACCTCTGTAGTGTCTCTTCACGCCGTCGCACCGCATCGGGGTCACACGTGTCAGCACGCTCGTTTCCATGGCAACCAACTGAACAGTTAACGGGGTGTCACTGGGGACGGGACTGGGGGGGGGGGGGGGTTGCACCTTTTTTATCCTCTCTACCCAGCGTGCTTTGCTGCAGCTGCGGCTGTCGGGGATGTGAGGAGCAGAAGGAGACGTTGCTTGATGTAAATGTGTTACCATGGCGACGATGAAGGATGGGGGCCTGTTGTTATGACGACGAGTGGGGGATCAATACCTCCAAGGTCTTTGATGGGGACATTAAAGTCACACGCACCAGCTGGGTCTGCGTATCAGAAAACTTTTAACGTTTCCACTCTCAGAGGTTTTTGCTTTATATAAAAACAGAAAATATATTTTTATATTTCTGTAAAGTTTAACGTCCTGGAAACAGAAATAGGTCCCTGAGCTTTAGATGCAGAGGATTTCTGATAAAAGTCAAAAGATGTATTTAAAACGAGCTCAGAGATGAGGATCCTGCAGGAGTTAAGGCTTTTTCTCTTCACTCGGAAGCCGATTGTTTCGGATCGACAGTTTTACTTTTTCAGCTACTTTCTGTCCTTCAGCTGGTTGTGGACCCTGAAGACCCTGGCTGGGTTTGATGTTGGGGTCTGGTCTCTGAGTCTCAGAGGATCCATCTGACAGAACTCTCTCTGGTTCTCAGGATTGTCTTTGAGCCACAGCTGTGCCTGAATCATCAACAAATATTGACTCTGACGGGAAACAGTTCAGAAAGAAGCAGAAATGACGTCTACATCTGCAGATCTGGGTTTAAATTGTTGGAAAAAATATCCTCCGTTTATCTTACTCACTGAAAGAAGCCACACTTGATGGCACGAGAAGATTTTGAACCGGTTTTATTTGCATGGACAGATTTTCTCAACAGGTTGCACAGATGTGCAGAAGTAAACGGAGCCCCGTCAGGAGACTCTGCCTCGGGCAGCGTGCGAGGCTTGTTTTTAGACACTTATCAGCTCCGAGCTCACAGACAGACTGGCGTCCTTGGACTGCCAGCTGCACACGCAGGATCAAATCATCCAGCTCCCTCTAACCCCAACACCTGGTTCATGGGCAGTTAACGTTCTTAAAAACATCCGTAAACCTTGAGCAAAACTCCTTAACACAAATCTCTGAAACAAACAGTTCCGCCTCAGAGACTCGGGCGTTTTCAGTTTATGTCCGGTCTTCATGAAGATGCAGCCAAACCCGTCACCAGGTGTTTGTTGCTCCGGTTATCTGAAGACGGATCAGTTGTTGTATTTTCTGACTCCTTGATGGCAGAACAGCAGAAGTCTGCTTCGTTCCTCTCCGACCAGCTGTCGCCTCCTGCAGGACGATGCTCTGAGAGTTGCAGGTTTCAGTCGGGATCTAAAGCTTTCTCAGTCACGAGTGAAGATCTGCTGGATCCAGATGAGGAAGGGGTTTTATCTGAGTCCTTCTGCAGTTTGTGCACGAGTTTATTCAAACATGGACGAGCAGAACTGCTGGTTCTGTCTGAGACGAATAAATCATCACTGAACATCTGGTTCACATGTTCCAGGCTCGGTGATGCTTCGGTGTGTGCGTTAGACTAATAGTTAGACGTTAGCGAGATGATTTGATGTTTGCTGTGAACACAGGAGGAACCGTTCTGCACCAGCGAGTCGGGAGGAAAGCTGCAGTGCAGCAGCAGCAGCAGCAGCAGCAGCAGCAGCAGCAGCAGCAGCAGC